ACTGGGGATCAGGAGCCCTTCCCGGGCTAAACAAAACATCAGGAGCCCTTCCCGGGCTAAACAAAACATCAGGAGCCCTTCCTGGGCTAAACGAAACATCAGGAGCCCTTCCTGGGCTGGACGAAACATCAGGAGCCCTTCCTGGGCTGGACCAAGGATTCCACAGTCTCTCCTCCTCATGCACTGTGACCTCCGTGGTCGATGGGCCGAATACCTCCCGGAAGTGTCTCACAAAACCCTCCAGCGAGTGAATCCCCGGGCTTTGTGCAGTCCACAAGGCTTCGGCCCACTGCAAGGCTCGTCCAGACAGCAACGAGATAATGAATGACACTTTGGCCCCCTCAGTCACAAACAGGTGTGGTTGCATCTCCAGGTAGCGGGAACATTGCAGCAAGAACCCGCTGCCAAAGGCTGCCTCACCCGCAAAGCTGGCTGGCCGGGCCATGGGACAGGCGGGGTAATGCATAAAAAAGAAACAAACTCAAAACTGACAAAAACCGGAAAAAACAAATGAAGGGCCGAAGGCTGCCTCACCCGAAAAGCTGGCTGGCCGGGCCATGGGACAGGCAGGGTAATCCATAAAAACAAAACAAAATCAAAACTGACAAAAACCGGAAAAAATAAACGAAGGGAAAGACACCGCTACACTTTACTTGAGGGTCGGTTATTCTGTCACGGTCCAGGTGTGTGGAGGCAGGCAGGATGACGAGGATGACAAGGATTCAAAAGAAGGATATTTAATGTAGCAACAATTGAATATGGCGCTTATCACATGCTGTGTGGTATAGGCGTTCGTTATCGGGGCATTATAACGAGTACGAGTATGATTACAGGAGACCAGTATCGGGCCTGATACCGATACCAGTATCGGTATCGGTGCATCCCTAGTAAAAAGGTTTTATCCCCTGCTTGGTGTTTGAACTTGGCTTCAGTCATAAAGAGTTGCCCCTCCACACACACAAACACACTCAGGTTTGTTTTTGTAAAAAGTGGGGACATCCTATAGGCGTAATGGTTTTTATACTGTACAGACCGTATATTCTATTGCCCTACACCAACCCTACCCCTAAATCTATCCCTTACAGGAAACTTTGTGCTATTTCAGATTTTCAATACACTCCATTCTGTGTGATTTATAAGCATTTTGAAAAGTGGGGACATGGGGTAATGTCCTGAAAAGTCACCTTCTCCTTGTAATACCTATGTCATATCTTTGTCATTATGCAAATGTATGTCCTCATTTGTCACAAAAACGCACACACACAGACACAAAAGCTTTCAGTTCCTTAAGCTATTAAAATAAAAGTGTTTTAAAACAGAGAATGCTAACAAGAAGTGGCATGGTGATCTCCTCAGGCGCAATTTAGGACAGTTTCTAAACATCTACCTGGATTTCTCTTTCTCTCATCGCTCTCAGATATGGTGCAGGCTGGTCACAGCAGCATATAATTATTTCCATGTGACCAACTTCTTCTGGATGTTTGGAGAGGGGTGTTATCTGCACACAGCCATAGTACTGACATACTCCACCGACAAACTGAGGAAATGGATGTTTATCTGTATAGGCTGGTGTAAGTATCCCATGAGGCACTACTATGGAAATTATCCAGTTTTTGGATCATGCATATTGAAAATAACTGACTTATGGCATGTGCAGTCACATGTACTTAGAGATGAACATGTCACATGTATTGCTGGTATAGGATTATTCCACATTGAGTGCTTGTTTTTGTCCCTCATACCTGTGTAAAAATCTATGAATAGTTTATGATAGCTTAAAATATCGTTTAATATTTTTCTAAACACATTAACAAAAAATGCAGTAAGTTTATTACTGTATTTTAGTGTGTTTTATTTTATTTTATTAACATATTAATATTTGTATTTATCTTGAGATTGGGAAATTGAAATTTATTACCACTTAAACACATTATATGCCTGATATAATTAAAATAATAATGCATTTTATAATAATAATAAATCAATCAATCAACTGGGAAAGGCACCTGTTTCATAGAATGACATATTGTTTTATAGAATGTACTTTATAGTTAGTGTGATACGCAGTACACAATCCATTTTACTTCCATAATCTGAAGTAATCTGTGTCATATAGGAAATGTAGGGATGGATTTATGACATCAGTGAAAGAGGAAAGTAATTTTGATGAATAATTAAGCAGACAAACATTTATGGACACGGTGCAAGAACTGAGAAAGCAAATAAGGTCATTTCTGATTTCATGTTGCCTTTAAAGTAAAGCCAGAGATTAAAGTACTGTCAATTAATAACTTGAAAAAGAGTCACAGTTACAGTAGTAGATAATTACACTAATGGGGACTGCAATTTAATCAGGTTCTCTTCTGAATCATGGGCGAATTATTATTATGCGAATAAACAAGCCTTGGATTTTCCTCGTTAAAAAGGCATTGCAAATAAGTAATTGCCGAGGATTTATCACACAGTTCCTTAATAGTATCAATTATACTGTCTGTACAATGTCTTTGATTTTTTAAACTAATCTGAGTGGGTGGAAATTTCCTCTGCTTTTTTCTGCAGGTATTCCATTCCCCATTATCGTTGCATGGGCCATTGGCAAGCTGTACTATGACAATGAAAAGTAAGTTTCTCCCATGCTGAAGCTTTCTTCCATTTTCTTTCTTTTTTATCTCTGTATAATTCATGCATTTTACTCTAAACACACGCAAACCGCCTCACCTCATTTACAATAAAAGCAATTAAAGGTTAGATTAACCCCAATAATTTAAAACGTGACGTGACATGTGGCCAAGTATGGTTACCCATACTAGGAATTAGTGCTCTGCATTTAACCCATCCTTAGTGCACACACACAGCAGTGAACACACACAGACCGTGAACACACACCCGGAGCAGTGGGCAGCCATTTATGCTGCGGCGCCCGGGGAGCAGTTGGGGGTTCAGTGCCTTGCTCAAGGGCACCTCAGTCATGGTATTGAAGGTGGGAGAGAGCACTGTACATTCACTCCCCCCCCCTACAATTCCTGCGGGTACGAGACTCGAACCCACAACCTTTTGGGTTACGAGTCCGACGCTCTAACCATTAGGCCACAACTTCCCAAGTCTTAGCAGAGGATGGTTATTTTATATATATATAATTATCTCTGTCATCTACCCTCACTCTGGTCATTAAACAATCGATTCACGATAAAGCCAGAGAATTCATTCTGCACTCTTAGGCTAATTAACACCTGCTACTCACAAAATTGATTAGTGACACTGATGTAAACATCCTACAGTTCAATAGTCAAGACATGATAGATACAGTACAAGATCTCCTGTTTAAAAAGACTCTCTGTGATAAAAAACAAAACAAAACAAAAAAAACATATACACTTACATTAGACACTTTAAAAGAATGGATTAGGGCAGATATTCTCCTCATTAGCTACTTTAATCTCAAAATGGGAAACATAACAAACAAACAAAGAATGAAAAATGTACATTTACTTTCTATTAAATGGGGTAGATGGATATATAATATTAATTGTCAAGGCTTGACATTTGTGCTTGAGCACATAAAATATGTACAACTAAGTATAACATTAATAACATAACATTTAATAATGTATGTTTAATACCCTAATTGATTTTTTACATTTAAAGTGACATTACATAATGAAAAATTAGAGAGTGTGCGATAATTTGATAGATAGATGGATGGATGTGTGGATGGATGGATGGCTAAAAGGGGACTTTTTTATTCTCCTTTGTCTGTGTATAGAGAATAAATGCCAAGTTCTGTCATGAAACTCTAGATGGCACAAGCTGATGGGTCCTTAACGCAAACTGATGATTTTCACAGTGTTAAACTACTTGGCACAAGCTGATTGTTTCATGCTGCATATACAACCTGAGCTTGCTGCTTTACATTTAAATGGCTAGTTAGCATTCACTAGAGCATTTCGCAGCACGCTTTCATAGTTCATCTGAAAACCTCCACCTTCCCCAGCTCCACCTGTATAGATCTGCTACTAGTTATTTTATATGCTATTTGTGCAGCAGCAGTATGTCTTAAATACTCACAGCACTGTATCAGCGTATGTTTTGGCAGTAGCAAGATCCTGTACTTGCTTTGCAGCAGCAGCAATAATCTACAACAGCAATAACCAACAGCAGCAGCAATTCCGGAGCGTAGCAGATCTATTCTGCCAAGACCAAATACATTAACATTGTCATATCCATTACCATGATAAAATCATCCGAGAGTTATCATGAAAGAACGTCTCGGTTACGTATGTAACCCTCGTTCCCTGAAGGAGGGAACGGAGACGTAACGTCGGATGACTGACGAATTGAGATCTCGCTTAGAGTGACCAATCTACTTTGAGTGGAAACTAAACGAGCCAATGCACATTGGCATGCGATTATTGCATCCAGCTGCTGCTGATCACAGCGTGAGTATAAGTAGGCAGCAGATGCAGCGCATATTCAGGTTTTCGCTGAGGAGCCGAGCCGGTGACCCGGCCGCTCAGCGGTGGTACAGGAGCTGTGGCGACGGGACGTGATGTCTCCGTTCCCTCCTTCAGGGAACGAGGGTTACATACGTAACCGAGACGTTCCCTTTCAGTTGGTCACTCTCAACGACACGTCGGATGACCGACAAATTGGGATCCTACCAAAAGGCCACAGTTACCGCCCCTTCCAGTGTCCTGTGGAAGCCACCTGCACCCCTACTTTTTGGCATAGGCCAGGGGCTGCACAAGAGGACCAGCTACTGTCACTATGGCACTACCCACTGAATAAGACTGAATAACACTGGGAAAACTTACCCATCCTACTTGGAACAGGGATGTTACGGAAGCTCGAACCTTCCCGAAGGAGGTTCCGGAAGCAATACATATATGGACATCCCTTATGGTGCATATGGAAGAATGGAGGTGATTGAACCCTCTTGGAATGGCAGAAGTCTGCCGGGGAAACACGGGCTCAAGGCTATACCGTGGACTTTACACATATGAGATCCACTTAGGTCTTACATATGGAACCCAGCCTCCTACCGGTTCTCGAGGATTCAGCGAGTGAAGGCCTGGCACCGGACGCTCCGCCACGTCTAGCGAATGTGTTAGGGGTCGCCCAGCCCGCAGCCCTACAGATATCTGTCAGCGAGGCTCCAGGAGGATGCAACACCTCTAGTTGAGTGAGCTCGCAACCTGAATGGGCAGGGCACACCCTGTGCCTGATAAGCCAGGGTGATGGCATCCACTATCTAGTGGGCATCCTCTGCTTCGAGATGGCATTCCCCTTCTGCCGGCCTCCGTGACAGACAAAGAGCTGGTCTGAGGTCCTGAAGCTTTGCGTCC